CTGCTTCTGCCATTACATTTTTTGGTTTTCCTTGCTCAGCATGACAATTGCAATAGCTCCTGGATTTATATACTGGAGGAGGATTAACACATGCACATCACTATCTTTCTGCAGGTGCAATTTATGTTTATCTTCCTCCTGCTGCTGGTCCTATCTATTGATTTCCAGCTGCTGCCTTTCTACCTAAGCCTTGGTGCAGAGGGAGATTTAGTCAAACAAAAGGTCCACACTGGCTCCTTGTGACTGGCTCAAGGTGCTTTAAATCTCTCTCAGGCACAGGACCGTGGGTCTGTGCTGGAGCCACGCTCATCTCACCACTCATTCCACTGGTCAGTCTTGTTCTTCATGTCATGGACACTGAGTTACACTGGCAGCCCCCAGCAAACTGGACACCTTAACTCTGGGGATGGACCTGTTCCCAGCTGCTGTTTAGGAGAAGTTTTGTTGGGAAGAAACTGTGTGGAGAGCGGTGTTTTGGGTTTTTTGAGGATATGTGTGTGTGCCACTGCAGTGCCTGCTAACCACTATGAGCTCCAGATTTTTTCCAGTTTCATTGAATATTGACCCTTCATTTCTGTGACACAAAATTGTTTACTAGGTAGATGCTGTGTGCTGTCAGCCAGTCCAGGTCACCAACAGCTTCAGCTGGCTTTACTCTCTTTTATCTTGCCATGTTTCCAGCCAAGCCCTGTGAATAATCTTGGCATTCTCTTGTGGTCCAAGCTCAGGTTTTGTACCTGCATGCAGGGGCTTTGCTGTCAGTGACTAATTCTTCTAGGCCTTTTTTTCCAGACAAGTTTCACTGCTCTCCTGAAAGTTGTACCCTCCTGAGCTGCTGGAAAAGGTTCAGGTTGGTATTCCTTTCAGCTGCTGGGTCCCATCCCCAAGCTTGATGAAAGACTAATCCCAGCTGAGGCTCAAGTCTGAAGGAGAAGCTTTCAGCTGAGCTGGCTGTAGCACACAGAACATATCCTTTGGGAAATAACCATGTCTGGGATCACCTCTGCTCTGTGTGGCTGCTGCTGTGCAGGAGCAGTGACCTCTCATGTTCTGTTGAGCCAGGTCAGGAGGGCACAGCACAGACAATGCTGTGGCACTGATGGTTCTGTGCTTTTCTGCTGCTTGGTTTTATTCAAGTTCCCTTCACAGAGCCATTCTTTAGCTGCTTATTCCCTCATCTAGTTTTAATTCTGTTCTGTGAGTCTTCTGGACCCAGTGCTGATCTGCATGTATGGCAGTAATTAAGTAGGGATCCTGAAGTAACTTTATTTGTATAATCTAGAGAAAAAATATTCAGAAGCATTTTTATACCCTGCTTTTTCATTGAGAGTACAGGCTTGTCAAAGCAAAGTGTTTGTGGGAAGACTTTTAAGAATAATTTTGTGTATCTGATTCTGATTAAACTTGGAGAGCTGGATCAACCTCCTGAATAACCAGCTGCTGGTATTTAAGGCAAAAGTTTTGGGTTCAATTTCCTCTTCTTTCTGGGAACTTGAATTCAGAGCAAATTCTAAAATACAAATCCTTACCTTGCCTTATTTCATACTCTTACAAACCAAGCCTTGTCTTCTCCACAGCTTTTAAAGAAAAGATTTGCTTGACCTAAAAATCAGACATACAGAGCTCCAAGAATCAGGTTGAAAAGTTAATTGCACCTTCTACACTCCAATGTAGCGTTATTGATTAGAACACTTATTTAAAAAGTAGATTTTTTTATGTACTTCCAAGCTTTATTGCCCAGATAGTGAGATTGCTTTCAAAAATCCCCAACCTTGAACTCCACTCATCAGTATGAATTCATTACCTGAGTTAATCTTGCTGTGTAGAAAATAAGAAAGGTATATCCAATATTATGTTCCTAGAAGCATTTCCAATCTCACTTTGGCAAAACACTGTGGCTTTAAGGGCTTGAAATTGTGTTTGAATCTAGTTGCAGCTGAGATGGTTAGAACACAGTCTATAGTACTTTTCATTTGCTATATCTGCTAAAGTGCCAGCACTGTTCTATACCTGAAGTTAGTACTCTGTACTAAAGCAGTAGACTATGTTCACCTTAGAGAAGTAATTAGTGACCGACCCTTTTTTTTTTGTCTTTCATGATAAAGACAAATTCTAACTTTCTTTTCTGTCTCTTTTCCCAAATTCAACCTGGCAGGCAAAGATTCACAACAGGAAATAACACCAAGAGTTTTCCCTGGGGGTTCCTTTGCCTTGGCTGCTGGCTTACAATCTCCTTTTCTTGCTTGCTTACAATCTCCTTTTCTTACAATCTTTCCTTTTCTTCTTTAAGGTCTGATTGAAAAAAGCCATTTATTGGTAGTTTGTTAAATTTAGGAAATAGAAAAATGCAAGATTTGGGGAAAAAGCAGTATCCAAAGCAAGCCATTAAATTTTACTGATTTCAGAAGCCAGAGCACTTTTTTGAGATATTTGCTGTTTCGTGGTCATTGTGGAAGAGACAAACACTTTAGTTAGTCCAGATGTCAGGTTTAGTGGGGCTGAGCAGTGTATTACCATCCCTGCTCAGCAGCACAATGGTAACATGAGAGCTTAGTTACAGATCAGGTGTAAATGGTGCCTTGTTACAGTGGTACCTTCACACCTACAGATGTCACCATCTCTCAGGGCCTGGTGTGTTACCTTGAAGTTTACAACAGCCAGTTCAACTAATTGCATAAAAATTAGCACAAGAATATTGGCACAGCTACCAACAGTGAGTTTGAAACTCTGAGAAGCAGGCATTGTAGCCCTCTGTATCCCAGTTACTCATTTCTTCCCACTAAATAACTTCAGAGACAAAAATTATTCATGTGATCATGAGACAGCCACAATGACATGTTCTTGGTTGTGAAGGCAAACAAATACATGTGCTTTCCAGAAATCCACCTGTTTGGTGACTGTGACAGAGCCTCCAAGGACAGACAGCCTCATTTCCCCACAGCCTTCATCCACAAGAAATACAGCATCTCTCCAAGGGCCTTTCCTAAGCAAGCACAGGCAACTCTGTAGCATCAGTCAAAATTGCCACCTTCTAGAACAGTCATAAACATTAAATCAAGCTCTAAAATGATTGTATGGAAGTTGCCCCGCCTTGCTAAATAAAATGAGCTTTCCCCCTGTATTGAGTCTCTCTGGGTGAAACAGATTTGTTGCAGTGGTTTGGTTTTGTCAGTACTGAGGAGCCAGCACAGGTCAGTGGGCAAATGGAATTGTCATCTGTCTGAAGCAGAATTGTTCACTCTGTGCTCACCCTCAGTGAGCCTGGGGAGCCAGAACCACGTTCCCAGTCCAGCCCATCCTCTCTGGCACACAGGCAAAGGGGCTCTCTGGGTGCTGGTAGGAACCTTGCCCTCAGCAAACACCTCTTCAGGAATAGCCACTGCTCCTTGGCTTGTCCAACCCTTGTAGAACCACTTTGCACAGTGAAAGGAATTTTTTTTTCATTTTTATGGTCTCTAACAGACATGAAAAGTGATTTCTGAGATTAATGCAGTATAAAATTTTAACTCACTTTGTATAACTTCCTTCTCTTTAGACAGGAAGGGTTTTTTCCTCATCTATATTATGACATGCTTTGGCAAAAGCAATCTAACTCTTTTTATCAGTGGCAGCTTGGGATGGGCATAATATTTACAAATGATGCCATGAACAAGTTATGCAAATCACCCAAAATGAGAACCAGTAAGCTTTTATATCCTGCCAAACAATCGTGTATTGTAGAAATGCCACATTTTACAGTCAATTTGAGAAATGTTTAAGAGACTTTAAAACATTAGTGCCCTATTTTTCATATTGCTCAATACATATAACAGGATTTGTTAGTACCATGAGTCCAAAAATATAAACCTTTGGAATATGACAGAAAAAATAACCGTAATAGATTTTAAAAACCTAAGTGACTTTGAAAAGCCTCTTGGAAGTTCATAATACTGTCAATTTTTTAAAGATCTTGTCTAAAATTGAAAACCTGTATGACTGCAGAGAGGCAATCTGTGCCTCTCCAACTAGTATAAAAATACCGTTTCTTAGTGCATGTAAATGAGCCATTATAAAATAAATCAGAAAAAAAGTAATGGATTCTCTTAATGTATGAAGCTCTTCAAAAGGCTCATCTCCACTGCAGAATTCACAAGCGTCTGAACTGAGCTAAGGATCAGTGACTGCCTGGCCACATTAACTGATTTTTAACATTGTTCCACAATCCCTTTGGCAGTGTCCTGGAAGATTCTTTTTTAGGAGGTTCTGGCTACTCAAAGTAGGGTTCCTGGGAGTCACAAATCCCAGGGGGATTTGCAAGACCTCCCTTTCATAACTAGCGTAAAAGGAGCTGAACCAATTCAGCCTGTTAGCTTCTATACCAAAACTAACTCATTTTAAAGTGATTTAACTAAATTTGAAGACATTATTGAATTATTTGTAAGCTTTTATTTTTTTTCAGTCTTAAAAGGGGCATGTGGATTTTTGGATTGAAAAAGAGCAGAAGCTTTCCCTTGGAAAGGAAATGGCTAGTCACAGTAGTAACCCACACAACTTTCTTCCCCAAGTGAAACAAGGGAACATCTTGGGGGGGAATAAGGAGCAAACATCATAACAGTAAATTTGTGAGAACTACAAAATGATAACTTTTTAAAATGTGCTATTGAGGGTTTTTTTCAAGCAAAAATGTTTTCATGCCATATTTGAAATCCTTACAACAGCTTTCCACCTTCTCTGTAAAGACCTAAGAAGAAAGGGCTTATGTTTTCAAAGCTCTTCTAAATCTCCATCTCCCTGCCAGACTTTATTGAAAAGGTTACAGAGCACCAGTGCCTCTTTCCTGGTGTTTTACTGTTTGTGTGCTGAGCCCAGTGCCCTGGGTTTGCATGAGGCTGGTGCTGTGTGGCTTTTTTGCAGTGATGAACTGTTTACTGCTGGGCAAGGGAAAGTTGGGGGTTTTCTAATCTTGGTTTTCCACTAAGTCTTTTTATTAAAGGCTCACAACAATTTTGTTTTGATTGAAGCTGTGACAGAAGCACCTGGGCTGGATGAAGCCAGGCTGGGCCCTGCCAGGGAGGACAAGGTGAGACATTTCAGAGGTAAAAATAAATGCATGGGGTGAAATGTGAGGTAGGGAAGAAGGAACAGGGGTAACTGAATCCTGTGAGGTGCTTTGTAAGTGCAAAGCTTTGTGTAGTACGATTAAATATTGTACATCCTTGGACCCTAAAGAACCACAGGGCCTCTCAAGCTGAGTCTTCTGCTCTTTTCCAAATTTATAAAATATTCTCCTACACTGCTGTATAGAGTGTTGGGTGTTCCCAGTCCAGCTGAGACCCCTGCCCACCCTCCTGCCACACTTGTGCAATCGCTTTGTTTGTCAGGCCCAAGTGTTGGGGCTGAGTGGGAACATTACCCCTCTGTGAAGCATCCCACAAGTTTTTGGCATTGAGAAAATAACTCTTATACTGAGTTGTGCTGGCAGTGTGGTATTGTGAGCTATTTCACCAGTGCTGTGGCATGTGCAATATATATTGTGCGAGTTGCAGCAACAGGAGGCATGATGAATGGGTTATGTGTGCCCTGCTTTCTGCTTCTGTTGATAAGTGACTGATAAAGCTGACAAATAGCTGGATTAAGTAAACAGAGCCTACATAACTCATTCAAAGCGAATAACTGTTTACAAATTATCAATTGTTATCTGCACAGTTTTGAGTTAGGAATGATGGATCCCGTTCCTGTGTAGAAATAATGGGCCAGTGATGTGTATCAGGTATGTGAGCAGTAAAATTGGCCATCTGACAGTGCTCATCCTCAGGACAGGGACTGGCAAGAAGGCAAGAAATGTTGCCTGGAACAAGTAGAGCAATTTTTGACTCCAGCAAAGAACAGGAATCTGAATACAATAGAGGCTTCGGGATTTGGCTCCTAAATACAATCAGAATAATTTTAGGCTTGTTTAGAAGCTATTGTAACTAGTTACTACTCAAGGACCAATTTCCTTCTCATTCCCACGAGCAGTGTTTGCAGAAAATGTAGAATGCATATCTTTTTACTAGAACAGGAAGAAATGCCTGCTAATATAATGGCACTTCATTTCATAATTCACTGTAGGATGAGAATGGGATTTCAGAGCTGCTGATGTTTTAATCTCATGTTTCCTTGTCCAAATAAAATGCTGTGCGTGAACCACGTCGAGCTAAACAGATTTAGTTCCTCAGTGGCTGTGTCACGTTTGTAGCACGTGTTAAAGGTTCGTGCTCAGCTCTCTATGATCAAGTGCTTGCTTTTAATTTAGTGAGTTGTCCCTGCAACAGCCTGATAACAAAACGTGGCTTCAGATTCCTGAGATAACACTGAGCGCCGCTTGCACATCAGAGAGAAAATGACTTGGCTGGCAAGAGCCTGGATTGATCCACAAAGAAAGAGCTTCTGAACGGGGCTGGAAGTGCTGACACATCCCAAGCCCGCAGGCAGCACAGCGAGAGGGAACCTGCGGCTCTCCAGGTTCCAGGCGGAGCGCTGGCGCTGGAGCAGAATTCCAGCGGGGAATTCAGGGGATGCTGAGAGCTGCGGGGCCTGGGTGCGCTCCCTCTTGGGGTTTGGCACCCTCTGCTGTCCAGTTGTTGAACAAAAACCCCCAAAACACCCGGCAATCGGACCGCACGGGAGACGTAAAGGAGTCAATCAAACTCTTGACTGAATAATTTTGGTAATCAATCCCCCCACACTCTTTCTTGCTGCAATATGCAGTGAATGTTCACCAAAAAAACACAAAACAGCAATAAAAAAACCCAACGAACCCAGAAAACCCAAAAAAACAAAACAAAAATTTTCCTTCTTCACAACAGTAATTACACTGGCTCTGTTTCTCCTAAACGAGGTAACCGAGCCTTTAGCTCCTGAACCCACTGCAAGGCTTCCTGACCATTCAGGCTAGATGCAAACAAAGCACAAACACTGATGCTGGAGAAGTCTCAGATATGCTGAGAGAGGCTTTTTCTGCCTCTGCAAGGGCTCTGCACAATTATCACCAAGTCAAAACCACACTGCCACAGTGAAAACAAGCAGGTTCCTAACTAACATCTGGCATGGCTGTTCTTGCAACACGAGCATCTTGTGCTGCAGCTGAGAGTGCTGAAAATTGCGTAGGACACCTTATGCATGTTTTAGCTATTTAGTTAAATGTTTATTCACTCCAGGGTTTGTTTTTTTGTTTTTTTTTGAAGCAATTAACAAATGCTTTCCTTGACAGAGAGACACAGAGCTTCACTCCTGCAACAGAAACATGGGACACCTGGCTCTGCACAAAGGGGAATTCAAACCTAAAAGCTCTGGAAAACAGGAGGCATGTTTCTATTGTGTGATTACCTCCACTGAATACCTCCTATATATGATTGACAAGGTAAAAAATATTCTGTATGGTAGGCATGGGAGCCTGTAAGGGAACAGCCCTTGTTTGTCCCTTCTGTATTTCACATTTTGGATCTGTACTTGCACACTGTATTCAAGCTAGAAAATTCATCACCCAGATCTGCAAAGCCCATGGTGTCAGTCTTCCTTTAACAGGACATCAGAAAACCAAAGCTGTGCTTCTCAGTAGAGGCCCTCCAATGGCTTTGATTGTTAAATGGTTTGTTATGTCTTTATAAGTTTTCAGATATCCAGTATGAAATCCATGGCAAAAGTAGGACAAAGCACCGCTCTTATGCAGGCACAGATCCTGACAGGCATTGCTGCATTCCTCCCTGGGTTAGCTGGAGTTCTGAGCCACATTTCTGGTGCTAATCTGGACTCCAGAAGACCCCCATAATCCAGGGCAACAAGCACAAGTGCCTGTGTAGGGCACGTGGCATGGTGGGCAGTGCCTCGCCCCTTGCCCTGTGTGCCCTGGAGCTGGGGGGTCTCGGGGTACAAGTTCAACCAGGAGCTGTTCCCTGCAGGAGCTGTGCCTGCTAATGTCCACTACATCCCCAGGGGAAAGTAATTTGGAGAATGCAGCTATAGAATAAATTGCCACTTGTTTCTCTTACGTTTCACTTCACTCCAGCAGTCTCGATGCTGCTTCCTTAACAAAGGCTTAAATCCTTAAATGGATTTACTAATCAACTGCTTTTCTTTCCATACCCACTCTGCTTCTCCTCACATCTTCTCAGACCTGGGAGGATAACTAAAGGCTCAGAATGCTCATACTCATTTCTATTATAAGAAGAAGAAAATACACTGATTCTAAGAAATTCCACTTCTGGAAATAGCTTTGGTTTTTTTTGCTGCAAGAACCGTGGTGTTCTAAATAGATTGCAGCTCTTCACATTCAGTCTCAATAGAAAATAAAATGGAGGAAGTGCAGAAGGCAGCACTGGCATGATTTGCATATAGTCTTTGAAAACGAGCCTCAGATAGTGGCAACTGAAAACCAGCTTTATATCAGGCTCTTACTGCAACACTGCTCAAGTCAAAGAAAGAAAACCTGACCTTGTGGCAAAATAACCCTCACTCTGGTGCATATCTGAAACAAGCAAACAATAAAGATGAGACGTTATTTTAAAGAGGACACAGAATTAGAAACTTGAGTGGTGAGAAAACACTAAATAAAACTCAGAATCCTTATTTGAGATCTCCAGTGAGTGGAAGCCATGGTACCTAGTGTTGCCTGTGCATAGGGCACTCTGCTGCTGAGCTATATATTCAACCACAGATTGGTTTCCCCAAGCATCAGCCAAGACATTGTTTTTATTGATTTATTTTGCTATCTTCCCACTGCAGTGATAGGATGACAAAAGAACCACCTGTGGGTATCCTAATATATCTAATGCCAGCAGATTTTCAGGTTGAATACAAACAATAAATCTTTCCAGGCACAAAGGGGGAACCGTGAGGTAAGTTAATTTGGGAAACTAAAGAGCATGATTTAGGAATATTGGGTTTGTTAGAATGGATCAGACCAGTCCTCCTGCTTTACTATCTTCTCCTCAGAGATAGTTCCTTAGAGATGACACAAAAGAACACAAAATGAGCCCCAAAATAGTAAAGTGTTCAGTGACACTTCCAGGGACTGGTCTGCTTTCCAACAGTGCAGCAATAATTGTGTTACACCGGTGAGCAAGAGGTGAATTATGCACATTACAAGTGCTCCAAAAATCTGTAGAATTTCCTCAGGAACACAGGTATAATACAGGTGCTCGTGGCTGTGCTGATCACTGCATCTCAGGACACAGCCTGGATTTTCCCTAAGGCAGTACAGTTAGATTTGTTGTGCAATTTCCTCTTAAATTAAGGGAGAAAATGAATAAATATGTAAACCTATTCCACCACTTAATATATTCACAAATCAAGGCTAAAACAGTAGCTAGTCAAAGATGGTGTAGAGTCTAGCACACCAGAAAACAAAGTTCTCTTTCTCCTCTGTTCTTCCAGTGGGGTTTCCTGTCTCCTCACTTCCATGAACAGGCTGAACTTGTCTTGTGGGGTGCTCCTAAAAATACATATTAAGCCTTCATGGTAACTTCTTGGATCCAATCTATTTCAAAAGAATAATTTTAAACTCTCTTCAGCTTTTTGCTAGTAAAAGCTTCCAGAGTAACCCACCTCTGATGCTACTCTACTCTGCTTTCCCCAACACAGGTCCGGAGTGGGCAGGAGTGTCTCAAGTTCCCTACAAGTGCTGCTTTGCTGATAAATCTCAGCCCTGACCTATCCTTGGTAGTGCATCTGGAAAGGTTAGTTTCTGCTTTATAGCAATTTCAGATCCTGGTTTCTGCATCATACTTGTCCAGATTTTGAGCCTGACCAATTTTATTCATCCTGATCTTTGATTTTTGATAATTATACTACAACATGGTATGCATATATGAGCACTGATATATATGTGGCTCAAGAATGCAGTTTTGAATGATCTGGTAAATTGTCTAATATATTTACACTTCTTTAGATTGCTCAAAGGAGCATAAATAAAGGCAGTGTATCTGCCCCTAAAACCCCAAATATCAGTAGTGGTTGCCTCTGTAAGGTCAAGGCAGTAATACACACCTGCCAAATTTAGACATGCACCCTTCTCAGACACAAGAAAAAAAATCAAATTTAAGATATAAGAGCTCCAGAGATATTTCAAAGGAAGCCAATAAAAGAGAAAAGCTAGAAACTGACACTCACCAATAACAGGATTCTTAAAGCCTCAAATTCGATAAACCCACAAACCAAAAGAAATTAAGCAGGCTGTGTCACTTCAGGATATCATGCTATGGGATTTTAACAAGATTCATGGGTATTAAAAAGTAATGGCATGAAGTGGGTATTTAAAGTCAGTATTGATTTGTTGCCAGATTCTGCATATCAACAATTGCACTTGAGTGTCCATTTACTTTGCTCAGAAATAAATATTCCTGCCCAGCTGCATGTGCTAGTTGGAAGAGAATCAGTTTTCACCACTGGCAAAGGGACAGGTTGTTATCTCAAGCCACATGGTTCATTGATTTATCCGTGGTGGAGTAAATACAGAAATTTATAGGAATGCTGTCAAAATCATTTCTGTAAAAGCTTTTTTTGGAAGAAGAATGATAGTGAATTCCCAGGTAAGAATGCAAGAAGCTTTCTGAGTATTTGGACTTATTAACTGGTTGAGGTAAATTATCTTCATTTGATGTTTCTGGCTGGCAGAGTTAATTTATTTGTACAAAAGTATTTAATGATGCAGGGAGATTGTTATTGGTGGTTTAATTATTGTTTTGATCAGAGCTTCTGTATGGGTGGTAGTACTCCTAATAAGATAATAATACTTTTTCATCTGTTAATGAGTCTTTGGAGTATTCCCAACACAGTTTTAAGTCTTAGTTGTTTTCCCGCTCTTGGCTTAATTTCTGTGTTTCATTTGGCTTGCATAATGAAATAAGATGGGCTGCTTTACTGCTGTTTATAATAGGTCTTCCTAGTATGGTTTTCTGTACTTGGGCTGATCAGGATTTTCCAAAACTATATAAATATTTTTAATCTGAGGGGAAAAAAATCACTCTGCCCATAAATTGAAAGCAGTAAATTTGTTCTCAGGTAAACTATAATACTGTTTTTGCACAGTCTCATTGTGGTATCTAAACTTTACCATGAAAAAGTATGTTGTCTGCCTCTCTTTTCCATCTTTGTCTCCTAGAAAAAACTCCAAAGTATACCCTGTATATCTTCCTGCAAATACTTACTAAGCAGTTGGTAAGATCACAGTCAAATACAGTGATAATACTGACAATATGGGCAGTATTTGAAAGTTAACAGTGGGAAGGGTATGGCCTAACTGAAGTCAAGGGTACTTCAGCAGTGGGTGTTGACGTAAACTATCTTGTACACAGGTTTAATGTAATAGTATGAGAAGCTGGGAAGTGGATAGGAATGATGAGAGGAGAACCATAAAGAGCACAGTTAATATCATATAAACACAGGAGCTTTGTTTTTCTCTAAAGGTGAATATTCTAGTCCTCATCATATCTTCTTTATGGAGTATTTCTATACTTAACTTTTCCCAGTTGTGTGGCCACACTTCCTTCCCCTCTGCTTCATTTTTGTTCTGAATTTACTGGGCCTGGCTCTCCTTGTTTTGCAGTCCACCTTGGTTCTGTTGCAGTAATGTGCACATGGGGACAGCCCACACTGCAAGGATATAAAACCATGGGGACATGAAAAAGCAAGTAGGGCCTAAATGTTCATGTGTTCTGGATGCTGCAAGCACAAACAATATTTCAGTCCTCTATGACAGTTATACAGGTGCCTACTACAAAAATCGTACTGGAAGAAGGTGACAGAAAATTCCTTCTCCTCTGGAACTTTCTCATCCTCTTTGATGCCAAGGAAATAAAGAAATGCCCCCATTCCAGCTTTACCTTCAGAGCTGGGTGATGGCTTTTTGCTAGGTCATTGTTAGGGTTTCTTTGGGACTGCTTCACTGTTTCTTATGTGATGGGGTGTTTCACCTGTGCCATATCACAGAGCTTCCAGAGGCAACAGGAGATGCACAGAGACCTGGGAAAAGGTCTTTTTTTACCAAAAAGAGAGGACTGGAAGGAACTACATTAGGAAGGAATAGAGCTTCTTGTATCAGGCATCACAGATCTTCAGAGTTAGCAGTAATTTCCTATTTGGTACACACTGAGCTGGGGAAAGGGCACATCTACCTATAATTTAGGAAAACTGCAAGATTACTCATAGTTTCTCCTCTCATCTCTTCCAGGCTTTAGCCTGAGAAGTTTTTCCCTCTCTTTTTTGACGTGTATGATGTGCCTTACACATGCAAATCTTCAACTGTGTTAAAAATTAAAAAATTATGAATATTTCCATAGTATGGCAAATATCTTAATATCTTAATTACTAGCATGAACCTGGGGAACACAGCTAGCACTGGACCTCATACATAGGGAGCTGTTGCACAAGTAGAAATTGAAACTCTCTGAAAATGCAAGTCTAAATAGACTAAACAAAAGGCAGAGGAAAATTATATTGCAAAATGAACAGCACCATGGCTGGTAAAAATCACATTTCTTCCATTCATTTATTCTTTTTACAGTTTTGGGAATTAATCTGAAGTGTAACATGAACCAAACAACCCAAGTGAGGTAAAACAGGCACTAATAGGAAATAATAAAATAAATAAATAGCAGTCAGGAGAAATAAAATAATAAAATAAATAAATAGCAGTCAGGAGAAATAAATAATAAATAAAATAAATAGCAGTCAGGAGAAATGAGAAAGAAGCAAAATTCAGGTGTAAAAGCAATGAGACATAAAAGAGACACTCAGAAGCTGAACAGAGAGAAGGTGGAAGATGGGTGTCCTGTGCTGCAGAGACCAGTCTACAGATGCTTTGCTGCTGCTGCTGCCAGCTGAATGTATTCTTCCCCTCATCGTACAGCTGAACCTGCTCAAGCACACCCACATGCCAATAAAATGCCTTTGAAAGAGACCTGCCTCTAATATTTGAAAGAAAGTGTTGCTTCAGTAACTATTAACAACCCTCAGTGTCCACCCCATACCCTGCTGGCACACCTGGCACCTGCTGCTGCCAGCAGGACCATCTTTAACCAGGCCACTGAAGAAGCTGGGTGGTCTGAACTGCACCACCTTTTGTGCCATCAGCACGTCTGCAACAGCAGAGGGAAGAGTCCGAGTGGCTCTTCCTATGTGTCTGTATGAGGGTTCCTTTGAGGATGAACTGATTGTCTTTCATGGGGCTGTCAGCTGAGCCTTCCACCAGTGCTAAAAATGCCACCATTTTCAGGCCAACCAAAGTGTGAACCCAGGAAGAGCAGAGCAGAAGTCCAGGCATGTCACTGAGTCACCCACAGGAGGTTATCTTCTGGGTTAGAGTTAGTCTGATCCACGGGCCACAGAAATGGCAACTGCAAATACTTCAGTGAACATCTCTGGTTATTATCCCACAAGTACAAGCTGTGGAGAACATTGAAGGTTAAAGATTCCTTGGCAAATGTTCTTTGATACTGCAGTAGAATAGTGTACATTTTGGAGGAAGACATGAATTCTAAGCTAACAGCTAAAGATCAACAGCATCTGCTGAGAAAGTCCCTGTAGTTATGGAAAATTTCACGAGTTCAAACCACTGTGGAGAGTCAGACTGACTCAGCTTAGTCTCAGATCACCTTTGGGCATCCTGGGAAATGTTGGTTTTGAGCCTGCAACTCTTGTAAGGGCCCTGTTTCCTCCAAAAACACCAACTTTTGCCCCCTTAATGGGCTGAGTTGCTGACGAAGGTCACAAGAGGTCCAAGGATTTCAGAAGCACTCTTGGATTCCCTATATAAGACACAAAAAGTAATTCCAGTAAGGCCAACATATGTTCTTCATATGTCTCACAACCTTTACTCAATCAAATCTACCCTATAAGTAGGGACAAAAGCTTTTATTCAACCTGTAACTCATTTGAATTAATATATCTGTAACTCAAAGCATTCTTCTCTGCATTTTCCTCTCACAGTGTTCCTGTAAATTAATTATCCCCACTTCACTGAAGGGGAATGCTCTGTTCCATGAGTTTCATCTGAGTACAAGCACAAAGCTGCAAACCCACACCAGTCCTGTTCTCAGTGCAGGGGTGTACAGCTTGAGCCTGCTCTCTGTGCAAAAAAAAGTTCAGAGGAACTTCTTGGTACTCACAGTTTATAGGAGTGCACTGCTAATTAATGTAGCAAAGCAAAAGCAAGCTGAATGTTTCCCTGGAAGGAGTAGAAACCCTGCTCAGAGAAACTGGCTGGCACTTAAACCTGAGTACTGATTATCTAATGCTGTTCACACAGCTTGAACACTTCAGCTTCAAAACAGGTCTTCCCTAACATGAGAGGACAACTGAAAAGGTGGTGTGATGCTAACAATAAATGTGACTTGCTGGATCAGTTTAGAGAAAATTTAGAATTTCTCATTAATCACTTAACACAAACAAGGAAAATAAGTTTTTTAATGATAAGGAGGATCCTAAAAGACATGTGGCTTATTTTGTATGAAGCATTCCAATTTAATTTTGTGGAAGAAATGGCCTACCACAGTCTGCACCAAAACAAAAACAAGTGTAAAAACACAGTGAGAGATTGTAGGGAAACAGGTGAACCATTGTGGTTCATTGAGATTCATGTGTTGCCAGGGATACCTCTGGTTGAAGAAATGGGACACATGGAGGAATTTGTAGGTAGTCTGGAGCCAGGACGTTTCACAGAATCTCAGGAGCAGGCTGC